AGAGAGAGAGAGAGAGAGAGAGAGAGAGAGAGAGAGAGAGAGGGAGGGAGAGGAAAAAACGTGTGCCTCCAATACGCATGCCCATGAGCAGCCAGTATATACAAACAAAGAAGAAAAGAACAAAAGGGGAAGAAAACGAAAAAGGGAAAAAAGAGAAAAAGAAACACAAAAAAAGAAAAGAGACAAGGAAGAAAGGAAAAAAAACGAAAAAAAGGAACAAAGGCAAGAGAAGAAAAGGAAGAATGAAAAGAAACTCACTCTCTTTTCTTGAAACAGAACGACCAGGGACTGCACAGGGACCAGGGAGATTATGCAAATGGGTGGTAGGGGGAATAGATTGCGCCATTCTCTCAAGAGAGGAGATCAATCAGAGTATCACTCATGTATATCAAAAAATTTACTCCGATGCCATCAACTGTACGTGAGGGTGCAGAAGAAGGGGGGAAAGAAAAAGAAGAGGAGGGGGGAAGTAAGTGGGGAAGAGGAGAGAATGGAGTTACGCTTCAGCTCTATCCTCCAGATCCAATGTGCTCCTGTATCCGCACAAATCTCGCCGAATTGCAGGAAGGGCATGGCAATTCCCTAAAGCACTTTGCTATCCCATGCCACATGGGGCGTCATCAGAAGGGGGGACATCTTCCATGGTCTTTGGAAGGCGAGGGGGGAGGCGGGGGGATAAGATGCGTCGAGGCTTGGGAAGAGGAGGTGGGAGGTTTATGGGGGATAGGGGGTGACAGGGGGGTAGGGGGGAAGGGGAGCTCATGGAGGGGTTGCGGAGGAGGGCAAGGGAGGGAATAGAAGAAGTAGAGGAAAGAAAGGAACGGGAGAAAGGAGACGAAGGCCAAAAAAGCACTTGACGGCCGCCCTAGACTCCATGTGCGCGTTCACTCGATCCTATGACACACGCTCGATCGAAAGCCAGCGGACAGCCCCCAGTGTGTAGCATAGGCAGCAGCAGCCGGTGAGAAATAGGGTTAAGAAGCAGATAGTGCCCCAAGCAGAGTGGCAAAACGCTTTGACGAGGAATAGAGCAATACCCTCTCGGAGATGAAGGTGATGAAGCGCACACAGGCTATGACAACGTTTGGTAGCAGGGCAAGAAGAAGAAGCGGAGCGAGTATGGAGCTTAGCGATGGTGAGGGATATGCGGCGCATTACGCAGGGGGGTCGGCGGGGAAGCATGCTGTAGGCTGCATAGCGCTAGGCCGAGGCACAGTCAGGCGCAGGACTTGTGAAGAGTGAGCCCAGAGGATGCTCACGCCAGGTGCGTTACCACTTCTTCCACCTCCTGTTGCTCCTCCTCCTGGTCCCAGTCGGTGAAGAAATCCATGCGGTGCGCAGACTCGCAATCCTCTCCGCAAAGCAAAAACCGGTACGCACCGCACCACAACTGATGTCAGACAAGGTTGCAGTGTGGTGGCCCGATGAATAGTACGCTACTATTGCTATCCTGATATAGTAGCAGCTTTCAGCGTTCCGCCAACGAGTATGCTTTCATCAGAAGCTACCACCCCCCCACTGTTCGTCCGATCACACTAATCTGATGGCCGCGAAACAGGTACCTCAATCCTTGGGACACACAAAAAAGGGGGAAAAAAGGGGGGAAAGGAAGAAAGAAGGGCCTCGTTAGACCCTCCTTGGAAAATCCTCAGGAACTAGGATGAGGTCCTTGGAAAGTTTTCCAGTCTTCGGCGTCGTCGTTACACCGCATCCTAATTGAATGGGTCCCAAGGAAAACCGTTGGAGGTCTCCCGCGGCCAATTTCATATGCACATACGCCGCCGTGGGGCTGGATGTCCGTCGCTGCGGTGGGATGTCCGTGCGTCCTCAGGCGTGGTCCGGTGCCGGCGGCAGGGAGGCCTTCCGGGCTGGGGGAAAAAAAATGCGCGAACATCCCTGTTGGAATTTCGAATCCTTCGCTGAAACACATCCACACCCGGGGTGTCCAGACCGGTGCAGCGCACACCGGAGCGAAACTTCTACGGAGGAGTGCTGGCAGCCATCGCTTAATACGCCGGCATTGGAAGGCGGGCCGACGCAGCGCAGACGGTGACGGTCTCCGAGTGCAACAACGGTCAGGAGTTACACATTCGTATTCGGCCCGTCCGCGACAATCGTGCGGGCTGCCATAGCTGAGTGCGCATGTCAGGCCTCTGTGAGACGTGGGTAGTGCTGCTGCCGTTCCTGTCCACGTGGAGACATCGGAACGAGGGTGCCGGCGACCGAAACAGTGGTGGGCAGTTCCGCATTGCGCGTCGTTAAGATGGAGGGAGAGCTGCGGGGCTGTGTGAATACGTTGACGGCTTTCGAGAGAAATGCGGTGGTTGCAGCTGTGTCGGCAGTCGCCATGCGATATCGCATACAGAGAACGACCGCTCGCCTGAAGATGAGGTTGTCCATTCGCAGGCAGCGTCAGCTCATGGCGCCCAACTGTGTGTCGTTATCAGAATCCATTGTGCAATTTTGTTGCGCCATGGCGTCCGGTGTGATCCCGCGGGCGACTCCAAGGTGGTGGATGAGGAGAAGGACGGGAGGGACATGGGAGGATCTCCGGAAGATGGACGACACGGCGGACGGGTACTATAAGGAGAAGCTGAGGATGTCCCCTAGGGTGTTCCGGGAGATCGTGGAGGCGTTGTCCCCTCATCTGCAGCGGAGGGTGACATTCTACAGGGTGCCTTTGATGCCAGACCACATCATCGCGTACGCGCTTTATCGTTGGGCGAGCAGGGAGATGTACGAGAGCAACACATCGCCATTCAGCATAGGACGCACATCAGGCTTGATTGCGGTGGAGGACGTGAAGGCGTTGCCGATGGGGGGTTAAACCACCACTACCTCCAACCCTGTTTTTGCCGAGCCTGACTTTCACAGCGCACCGAGTTTTGCCGAGCCGGGGCAGTTTCAGCCAAGAAGGAACAAGGGGGAAAAGAAAAAGAAGAAAAAGAAAAAAAACAAACATCCCGAATGCCTCGATAACGGCCAGATACATTCTATGAGGTGCTCGTGTGACTGTGCCCTCAGTGAGGGCGTGTAGGGGACACACAAAGGAAAATAAAACAAAACAAAAAAAGCTCCCTTATGCTGCAATTAAGGGCGGATACAGATGCTACAGCATTGAGACAGTTATGTGCCACCCGTGAAATACGCCCTGCCTGGCTGGCAGGGCACTAAAACGACATGGGAACAAAATCAAAACAAAACAAAAAAGCAAGCCCCTTCCCCACATAGTGGCCAGGTATATTCATCAAAGGCCTCTGCAACTTCCACCCTCGTGAGGGCCTTCCCCGACGTCCCTGGATTTGAAACTTTTTTATTCTTTTCTTCTTTTCTTCTTTTTTATTTCGTCGGCCTCCAACCCTGCCCCGAGCCCCGTGTTTTAAGGAGTAGGCTACTAGATGGACTTCATGTTTGCCTATGAAAGGTAGTGGTGGTTTAACACTGTCGTCGCCTTGTGACCAAATGTTCCCGCGCCTCGAGAGAAGGAGGGCGCCGGACGACACCCATCTACGCTGCCATCCACCGGACACGACCTTCCGCCACGCCCCGCCACTCCCACCCCATGCAGAGACGTTTGTCCGACGGTCGTGGCAGCGACGTGGCTTGATGCACAACAGTTCGTAACCGGTGCAGCAGTCCTGCTTGACAAGCCGAAATCCAAGTCCACAGTCTCTGTGTCGCCTCCGTCGATACCCTCCGCCAGCATTGCCGAGAACGAGTGTCGACTTCTCTCTGCCTCCCTTTGTCGGCAATGGCTGCCCATCCAGTCCTGCGTAGATCCACTTCCCAGTGGCAGAGTGTGGGACAGATCCTCCAGCCACTCCTCTTCCAGATCCGACGGTAACGGCTGCTCGTGTGGTGGCAGATGACTGTACAACGTGGGGTCATACGCGGGTGCACGACCCGCGGCTACCGCCGGGTTTGGAGTGGAGAAGTCGATCGCACGTCTGTGCAGTCCGCTGGAGGTTTCCCGCCTTTCCATCGTCGCCTTCCTCACCATGTGTCGTTTTCGTCTGCTCCCCGGACCCCGCACGACGACACACGCGCGCAACAAGACCACAAGCAGCAGGAGAAGAGTGGCCAGCAGCAGGAGCGGGACCCGCCGGAGCGCGTCTGCCATGAATCGCAGCAGGCGAGGAGTGCATCGACCAAACCTTGCTCCCGTGCGCCTGTCAATGCCCGACAATGCACGCTGCCAAGGAGAACTGCAGTCGGCCAGCACTGCTCACACGTTGGCGGTAAAAGAATCGAAAAAGTTGACCGTTGGACACCATGCCCGACGACGCGCACAAGGAGAAGCCCGCCACATGAACCACCTCAGAGCTGAAGAACCACCCCCACGCCTTTACGCGCCAATGGTACCGACACAACACCGTTGGAGGCTCGTCCCCTACTGGAGGCCGGCGGTGTCCGCCCGTCTGGACCACGGACGACCTGTGCACCACGAAAAACTCCAAATTTTGGTGTCAACGCATGCTCCACGACGATCCATCAATCGCGGCTCCTTGAGCCCAAGGGACCTCGCGAGGACCCCTTGAATCCAAGGACGTTTTGGCTGGCGATTCTGAGGAACCCAAATATCTCGGTAGCGTTTTCACATTTGTCCAAGGAATTTGGTGATTTAGGACGCAGTGTAACGATGCGGATTTCCTAAAAATTGGATTTCCAAGGAGGGTCTAACCGACTCTAACGAGGCCCAAAGAAAGAATGAAAAAAAGATTACGAAAAGATGAAAAACGCGAAGGGAAAAATGTGAATGGCACCAGGCCTCAGCCATGAGCGGAGCTATCCCTCATTCTTCACCCCTGGCTCTTGTCACCGCGTAAGGGAGCAAGTCACGCGCTACATCCTACGTACGCCGCCGATCAAGCTTCCCATGGGGAGGGGGTTCTTTCCCTTTTTTTCATCAAAGAAAGTAAGCAAACGAAGGCCAAAATCGACCTAGTAAAAGAATTGAAAAATTTCACCGCACAGTCAGATCATTTCCGAAGGTCGCTCAGGCCCTTGCGCATCCGTTGTCCACTCGCCCCTGCCTTCCATTGTTATCTTCCTGTATGCTCGTGTGTTGTCATATTCGCTATACACTCAAAAAAAGCATGACTGTACCAGACTGTTTCGTCGGACTTTCACCGACCCATCAGGAGGTTGAACCCCGACAGTCTGCCCAGGATGCATTTGACTGATGGATAAGGACTCGCCACATCACCCAGAGTTAACGATACCCCTGAGAGAGAAAAGTGATCGACTTTACTCACACCAACCTTGCAATCCTCGCAGGCTGCCGGTCCAAACCCCTGACAAGAAAGGTAGTACTGTAAGTCTGCGCGCGTGTGTGTGGGTGGGTGTGTGTGGGTGTGTGTGGGTGTGTGTGGGTGGGTGTGTGTGCGCGCACACACACACAGAGCCAAGCAAAATGGTGCTTTGAAGTTTGAACAATATCCATACATAGTCCATACATACAATAACTGAATTAGAAGGAAAAAGTGGACCACAAACATCCAGTAATAATACCCACTGCATGACAGTAACAACATACAGAAATGCAGTAACGCCCAGTAATTAGTAAAAGGTAATCCAGTAACAAACAGAATGGAGAAATCCACATCTCAGTTCCACAACTCAGTTCTGTTAAATACAGAGGTATAAATGTCGTACTTTTTTGCAGTGTGTGCAGCAGTGGGTTTCGAACTCACGATCTGTTTATCAACACACTCTGCTACATGAGATGTGTGCACAACACAGCCACAAGGCTACACATCTCAGTTCCACACGCTGGATGACCCAGCAGCCTTGTGGCTGAGTTGTACACACATCTCATGTAGCAGAGTGTGTTGATAAACAGATCGTGAGTTCGAAACCCACTGCTGCGTACACTGAAAAAAAGTACGACTTCGATACGTGTAGTTAACCGCATTTTTTCTGACCAAATCATGTTTTGTAGGGTGCACGTGTGAGGGAGAGAGGTTGAGGTTGAGAGAGAGAGAGAGAGAGAGAGAGAGAGAGAGAGAGAGAGAGAGAGAGAGAGAGAGAGTACTATGGGTGAGTCCTCTTTTGTCCGTTTCTTTGTATACACCATGTCTTGTAGAGTGCATGTCCGAGAGAGAGTGATTGAGAGAGAGACAGAGAGACAGAGAAAGAAGCACAGACAGAGAGAGAGAGAGAGAGAGAGAGAGAGAGAGAGAGAGAGAGAGCGCTACAGGTGAGTCTTCTGTTGTCCTTTTTTCGTATACACCATGTCTTGTAGAGTGCACGTGCAAGGGAGAGCGATTGAGAGAGAGAGAGAGAGAGAGAGAGAGAGAGAGAGAGAGAGAGAGAGAGAGAGTGTGTCCTTTTTTGTGCATACACCACGTCTTATAGATTGCACATGCGAGGGAGAGCGATTGAGAGGGACAGAGAGAGATGGAGAAAGAAGCAGAGAGCAAAAGAGAGAGAGAGGAAGAGAAAGAGAGGGAGAGAAAGAGAGAGAGAGAGAGAGAGAGAGAGAGAGAGAGAGAGAGAGAGAGTGTTACAGGTGATCTTCCGTTGTCGTTTTTCTTTGTTGCTGTGCAGCATTAGAGAGAGCACTCACATACTCAACTCACGCTCATCATAACTGTATCTGGGTGGAATTATGGTTAAATTCACGCTGAAAAGAGCACTCACGAACTCACCTCAAGCTCATCATGCTGTCTCTCTCCTGTCGCTGGATCCTTGAACGGGGTTCACAACTCCGTTGTAGAGAACAGTAAAAACTGTAAAACAAATATTTATTTATAGTATACTAATGTTTTATTCGAATATAACGTTTTCTGGGTCAATCCAAATAGAAAGCATTCGTGTTCCATTCGAAAACAACACATATGCTTTTTATTGGAGTGCTCATCTATTCCAGTAAAAAAAATCAAAAAATATTTTTTTTGGAAAACTCGAATACAACGCATGTGCGTTATGTTCGGGGGAAGACAGTAGCCAGTCAGGCACCGACAGACATTCATTATAGCGCAATTCACAGAGAGAGGGAGAGAAGGAGAGAGAGAGAGAAGGGGAGCGAAAGAGGGCAGTCCTCTCTCTCTCTCTCTCTCTCTCTCTCTCTCTCTCTCTCTCTCTCTCTCTCTCTCTCTCTCTCTCTCTCTCTCTCTCTCTCTCTCTCTC